AAAAAAAAAAAAAAAAAAAAAAGAAAAAAAAAACAAGAAATAACTTAAAAGCATATTTTTACATTCAAACGAAACGCAAATTTTCCCAAGAAGGAGAGTAAGTTCGTCGAATTATATTTTATATATATATACACACATATGTGAGTACTTACTTAACATAAGTATGAAAATAAAATATTTTTTCTATGTCTCACAAATCTTACTTAAACTTTTTCAATTTGTTCATTCGATAAATAATGCACGCGAATGAATAAAATATCCAAATAGTATACAAAATAAACTTGATAGTTCTTAGATTTTAAATTTTACAATTTGAATTAAAAAAAAAGACAAAAAATACTACACACGTGAAATGTTAAAAAAGAAATAATAATTGAAATACTACGATACAATACTAATCAATTGTTTCCACTCTCGAATAATATTATAATATATTATATTTATTAATAAATTTTAACAAGTGACCACCACATAATATCGTTAATACAAGATTTTTTTAAAATACACTTAAAAATCCATAAAACAAATAACAAATATTTTCATACTCGAGTAATACTATAATAATTTATATATAATACTTATATACAAATAATGAATTTGTGTTTATTATCATACCTGAACACTTTGTACATTATTACATATTTTTCTTTGATATTACAATTATATATTTCGATTTTAACGTTAAACTCGATTCGAAATTATCGAGAATGTTTAAGGATGATTAGGTAGAACGGTCCTTGTTTGTACGACTAACGACAATTATCAACGACCTGGTGATTGAACGACAACGTGGGCGAGGAAACTGTGTACTAGGTACCTGTTAATTACGCACTTAATGATCCCCGAATTAGGATTAAACGCCGTGGGCCATTATAGAACGTTTGAGAAGTATCCTACTAAAAGCAGACCACGTGAAACGCGTTAAAGTACCTATGCATATAATTATTTATTTTTAATCATTAAATCTCTAACCCCCACCCTCCTTCCCCCAACTCTTATCTAAATTTGATTCTATGTATTTAATATATTTCCCTATAATTGTTCTCATCAATAAATTCATTATATTCCATTTAATAATTCTTCCCATACGTATATAGTATATATATATATATATATATAAACAATATTTATATAATTTAATAGTTATAATTATTATTAGAAATATATTGATGATTAATTTATTTATTTAAAATTGATTTTATGTATACATACAATTAATATAATCTAATCGATTAATTTTATATAGAAATATAATATGAATTACGTTGACACGGATATAAATAAGAATGAAATTTTCCAAATTTTTAATTATATCTTATATAAATATTAAATTCAACGCGTTGTTAATCAACCACGCTCGTCGTTAGTAAGATGTCACGACAAAGTTACGTCATCATATAATTTAGAGAGTTAGTAGAAAGGAAAAAAAAAAACATAAATTAATTGCGTAACAAAGTTTCTCCTCTCTCTCTCTCTTTCTCTCTTTTTATTTTAATACTTTTTTTTTTATCTCGTTGTTGTACGTTTCAACTAATGCGTTCCTTTTTTTGTTAAAAAAAAAACGCGTATATTATTCTCTCGACACTTTTATGCGAAAATATTTATCAAATTTAAAAATATTACAGTTACATACACGGCACCATACAAAAGAAGAACATTTATTTTATTTATATATATATA